CTCCATATTATGATATATGAAAATTGATGCACTTTAATAGCATCGAAAGTGCAATGTATTGATATATGTTCTCTGAAAGGATGCTTCAATGTTGTAGGAGCTGCGTTCGTTGTACAATTATACTTACTATCGTGTGTGAAATTGAAATTCCTCCAAGTACTACAAGTTAATATTATGACGGACATTCTACAATCGTCTTCATTTATTGAAAATCAAAAGTTATAGGGCTGTCGACATGTACAGATCATTTTGGAACGATGAAAACCAGGTCCCTCTCTAAACATTTTCACAATTCAAATAACTTTCATAAATAGAGCAGGTAAGTAGGGTAAATCGTTTGTTCAGTTCTTTTAAAAGCAGCGAATAAGTCACAATAGACGCTTTTATTATCCCTAAATAAAGAAGAAGCCAAAAGATCACCGAAGGTTGGAAGGGAAAAGAGAAAAAAAACAAGAGAAGCGCATGGTTGAGTAGGTAATGTACGTGCTCATACGCGGTTGATGGACATTTGTCTACGGTAGAGGTAAAATAAAGACGGGCTCCCTCCGCCGTTTAGGCTCGGGCAAATAATGCCCCTTTAGCAGCCCTCAATCGAAGTCGAAGCGAGAAAGAAGCGAGAGTCTTTGTGCGAAGATCCGCGAGCGCAGCGCAGTATAAACCTCATCCCAGCTACAATGGCTGTGGCTGACTTTGAGCGCAAGGCAAAAATCACAAAGTTAGCGCTACCTTGTACGCGAGGCACGCTCATGTATAGAGGCGCATGCAGAAATACGAGGCAAGATCGGCATAGCAGCCCGCCGAGTCGCTCCTCATCTCTTGCTCTCTCTCTTTAGCTCGCGCGCGCGCGCACAACCCCTATATGTATTTTAGGATGACACAGAAAGCAGAGAGCGTAAACGCGGCAATCGTCGGTCGAGCCTTTAGGGACGCGTCATAAAAGCAGCTGTCCTTGCGCAACGATTGGCTAAATCGGGGCCATCTTGCTTCTTCTTTTTTTTCCGGTCTGACTTGTCTATTGTGCCCGAGTCTCGGGGGGTAGGGATGAGGGGGCACGTATAAGCCTGCTAGCTACATTATACGTACATCCATACGGCAAATATGTACATGATTTGTACGAAGACGCGGAGAACGAGCGTCATGGGGAGGATGCGGGCATTATGTGACGCGACGAAGTGACTGCGGAAAGAGAAACTCTTTGAGCCAGTCGACTGCAATACGAAGCTTTGCTTTATTTTCCACTAAAGTCAGGTCATTATGTCTCATGAACTTGGGCGAGGTACAAAATACAATCGCGTGTACAAATTGCGCACCGTATCATATAGACGTATGACTAGCATTCAGCAATGTCCTAACAAAAATGCGCACTTTTGTTAGTTCTTGATGTATTTTAAACTTGCTTAAATGCTTATTTATTGTTGAGAAAAATTTTATTAAATTTTCAAAAAAAATCGATGCATCAACAAGAATCTGACAGAACCCATTGATGTATTGATGGATTTTCGAAAACTTTTAATCGTTTGGTACCTCTGGTTTACAACAAAATTGAGCTATTTGAGAGAGGTTGCAGAGACTATACGTTTTTTTTAAAACGAAGTATGCTCAATATCCTCGTGAATTCATTCTTCAACATTTTTATACGTCAATGTTAAAACTGCAAATATTTTTAATCAAAAAGTGCGTCTTAAATTGGAAGATATTCTATTGAAAGAGGAAGGAAAATACTCTCCAAAAGTTGAATAACATTTTGTACGATTTCGAGTCAATTTTGAGACCGAAAATATAAAAATTGACTTTAAATTTTTGAGAATTCGTCATATATTTTTGGTTTTATACTTTAGGACAAACGGACTTGTATCTAACAAAGTAGTTATTATTACAAGCTTGACCAAAGTCGTCCTCGGGCCGCAGGCACGAGTGCTTTTTGTCCTTCGTGAGCCATGCAATCGAAAATACAAGAAAAAAAGAAGAAAAGGAGGAAAAAAGCAAGTACGTTGAACCGTCGAAAGTAAAAAAAAAGGTTACGGCTCGGGTGAGCAGTTCGTACGGTGTATTTGCGCAAAGATTGCGCTGCTCCGGTTGCGTTGTCATGCACAGCAACTCGTTCCTCGACAAATACAAAGCTGCGAGCGGCGTCGCACTCGATCCGTACACTCATACACACGCATGTAAATATAGCTTAGGTGCAGGCGCACACGTATACGGCAATATAAGGCATATGCGGGCCACCGCCGCTACTGTGTTTTTCGAGTGATGTGCTGCGTGGAGTGCGTGCGTGCGTGCGTGCGTATGTATGTGTGTGATTGAAACAAATCCCGTCAAGGATGGATGACACAATCCCTGCGTGTATTGTGCGAAGCGCATGCGGCCATCGCGTAGTTACATAGCGCAAAGGAACAAACGACGTCGACGACGACGAGGAAAAAGGCGCGACGAGCAGGAGAGCTGCTATGGCCAAGGGTTACTTTTCCATCGCGCTGATCCGTGCGCGTATACGTGCACTATGTGTCTGCGGGCACGTGCAATGTTTGCCACCCTCGACGGCTATAGTACATGGCTCGGCTACGGGGATTAGGCGCAATTATCGGACGAATCGCTGTGCGGCAAACCGCTTGGAGAAATGAGTATTATAACTCGAGAGAGAAAGAGAGAGCGAGAGCGAAGCGACTCCGGGCTATGCATGCGCGTCGGCTCTTTCACTCAGCTGCCTGGGAAATTCACCTCCGCGTTATAGTCAATCTGTGAAACGGATCGCCAGCTATATGCGTCATCTCTCTTCCGCTCACTCTCGATCTCTTTCTCCCTCTCTCTCTCTCTCGCTCGGCACTGGTCTCGTCTCGTCAAACACTGGGCGAAAAATTCAATCTCACCGAACGATTACACCTATATATATCCTCACTCGTATGCGTGTATCTGCTCGACGATTCAAGTGGATCTCTTTTCCCTATGCGCTTTCTCGCTTGGCCGAGGCACAATGGGCAAGACTGTCAGCGTACAACTCTGATTTCGCAAGAGGATTGCTCGATTTATGCTTTCGGAAATGTGACGAAGCTTTGTGTGCTTACGCTCAAATTCGACCTAGCAAATACATAATATTGACAAGAATGGCACAATTTTACTTACACTGACATTTTCAATTCCGAGTTATGTGCATAGGAGAAAATCATATCGACCTGCGCTATTTAACTGCTCGCGTCTGTCTAGCATAACAACTGCCTCTGCATATATCTCGTAACAACTAGAGGAGAATATTTTGTGCTCTTTACGTAAGATATAAGGCTGCTGCGCATTTCAATAAATTCAAATTCTCCCAGATGAATTACTTAACGAGCAGACGACTATGTCGGCAAATTATCGACCTCGCTCGATCTATGCTATTTTCCAATGATATAATACTTTTCACTTTTTTCCTCATAGGCTTGAAACGTGCGAAGCTCGACCGAAACGAGTTTGATTCTCGCGGATGCGTGTAAAAAAAGCAGTCGATTAACTCATTCGCGCATTGCTCACGTGCCAATAAAGTGATTTGTATCTTTAAATAGTTACGTTCACGTGCCAAGTAAGAGCTCGATGCACGCACCAATTTTGATTACACATTTACTAACGGAGTGTATGTTTTGAATAACGTTCTCGCGTTCGGGGTTCAACGCGCTGATGTCAGACCGCAGATGGAGAGAAAAATCCAGTTCTCCGATCCGAATGTAATTCAAACGTGAGATATCGAGGTAGCCTTATATGCTCTATTACGAAACTGCGTTGGAGTTTTTTTACCAGAGTTGGTAAGTTTATGCTGCACAAACAGCAGCCTTATATACGCGCCGAGCAATCATCGCACGAGTTCGAACGAGGAACAGCGAACGCACAAAATGATTTTAAAGTTGACATTTTATTTCCAAAATATTCATGTCTCTAACAATTTTCTTACTCTTGTATAGTGTTCGCCGTATACTAAATTTAATGATTCGTCCGATAAGAGCTACATGATCGCTGTGCGAGCGAGTGCGACAATGACGAGCGTCGATTGATCTGCGCACTTATGTTTACATAGCTCTTTGCCGCAGCGTCAACTTTCAAGAGACAATTTTTCACCACCCTTATATTATAATCCTCTCGATCAAAGTCTGGCCGCAAATTTACAAGCCAGCTAGTTTGTGCGCGCTTATCTCGATCTTATCTATACTTTTAAGGTGATCATTACACGCGGCGTAAGCAGCAGCATCGCTTTCACAAAGCAGACTTTGGCCGGCGCTGCGGCCACCGCATGCTAATGCGCGCTTTCGACTCTTGTCCTCGCTACGCTATAATGGCTATATGTGCTCGGGCAGTTTTGTTGCTTGTGTCTTATCGCCGCAACAGGGACAGTTCGCATCGCGCCGAGCATCCTTTTTTTTCAGCAACCTTTCATGCTGCGCGCGCTCCTTTCGACTATAATAACGCCCGATGGCATGGGGTGAGCCGACTCTTTGGCTTGGCTTGTGCTCTCTAACTTCGATAATTATGTTACCAATGCCACTCGCGTACGTATGCAACAAATTCGTCTGTTGTGTCTGTGCACAAAGGACCCCTCGACTCAAGTAAATCCACGAACTTTATTATAACGTGGTACATCGTCGTTTATATACGCGAGCACATTCATACATACCCTATACGCGTACTTACGAGCACACACATGCACACACTTGCGCACCTACTATAGTGTAAGGCTTGATGGTAAAAAAAAAGGGCGACCGCATGCAGTTGTAAAAGAAAAATGGATTAAGACTTTCAAATGCTCGTATTTACCCCGATAATTGTGCCTTCTCAATACCTTGCCCTCGATGATTACATTCAATTGGCTCGGTGAAATCGTAATGATTTTTATCATTTCATTTTACAAATCAGTTTTATTAAGCATGGCGTATCAAATAATGACGTCTTTTTTAGCAATCATTGTTGCATTATATACCAACAACTTCAAACATTTATAATACGTTTCATAAATTGAAATAAATATCTCGATATTTTTCGTACAATTTCCGATTTTCTGAATTTTTATCGTCCTTTAAATTCAAGTTTTCACCAATATCTAAGTAGTATAAATTATTTTGGTCAATTGGCTTCCATTCAGTTGTAATATAATTGTCCAACTTCTCAGTTGGGTTTCTGTAAAAATTACTTAATAGAATTCTTTCTGTTCATTAATAGTAGTAATGCGATATACTCACCCAAAAGCCGCAAAATTATACCACATTCTGACTAATCTTTCAATAGTTTTACGATCCGACGTTTCTTTTTCCGGGTAAACATCGCCCTCGATGTTTTCTTTCATATATGTCAGATAAAACATATAAGATAATTCGTCCGCATGTGCCACACCTATAACATTTAAAACAACGAAAAGTAGCGATAAAAATTCTTAGAGTTGGAAAGCATCATTACCTTTCAATGGTTGAGGACCGTGATCGAATTGATAAAAAGTTGATTGATTGCCCAAGTAGGAAAAATTGAAAACATATGTAGGTGCATTTCTTGTACAATGCTTATTTCGTAAGTCTATGATTTTTCGATTCGGATTGATCATTAACATATCCGACATCAATCCTATTAAATTCCACCAATTTTCCTTATTAATCGGTTGGTGCTTTAAATAAAATCTTCGTATATCTTCCATGATATCGTCGAATCTTGTTTGATCTTTCAACAATAAATGATTTTTAACGCAATCTTCGATGTATTTATCGTACATACTTAACAAAGAAACGTCATCGAATTGATCTGCAAGAGAAATCAAAAAAGTTCGATACAATTTATATTTTAACTTGGAGGCATTTATAAAGTACCTGTGAAAAACAAAAGCGATTCATCGCTCGTATGTCCAATTATCATTGGAATGTTTGCGTCATTATTAAGTAAGTATTTTAACGGCACTGGTAAAATAGGGTCATTGGTAAAATATGCATCATAAACTGGGCCATACTCAAATTTACCGCAAATGACTCGTTCCTAACAGTAACAAAAATTGCATTTTTAATAATGATAATCGAAAACTATATATATTCCACTTGTATATAAAATCATCGAAAACTTATTAAATTAAAAGTATTAAGTAATTGGAATTAATGTACCCATCTAGTGAGAATGTTGCCTTCCATGTCAATGAGTTTGTCCCCAGGTACCGTTCGTAAAAATTCTAAAACTTCGACAGGATCCTCAGAATCACATCCAAGATTAGAAGCTATTTTAAAACCATTTTTAAAATCTGTTCTTTTAGGATTGACAAGATTTGACATGCCGAAACTTGAGCCACTCTGTAATATTGCTTTGTGAAATAAACCTAAAATAATATATTCTTATAGAACGAGAGAGAGAGAGAGAGAGTGACTGAGAAAACCATAGCGTTTTAACAATAACCTTTAGAAGCTGGGATCAAAGTCAAAAAATGAGTAGTCATGGAACCACTGCTGTTGCCAAATATTGTCACATTATTAGGATCACCACCGAAAGATCGAATATTTTTTTGTACCCATTTGAGAGCCAACAAAATGTCTCTTATACCTTGATTGCCTGGTGCCACTTCGTGTCCGAGATTTAAAAAACCTACTCAGAAAACTAATTTTTAGGACAGTACAAGAATTTGCATTAAAAATAAAATCATGGAAATTCAAACATACCAAAAGGGCCTAATCTATAATTCACACCAACGTATACGATATCCTGCGTCATCATATAGTCTTCGCGATAAATGTTACCCCTAGCTGAACCTTCGACAAAACCTCCACCGTGAATGAAAAACATCACCGGCCTATTTTTCTCTAATTTTTGCGAGAACACGTTTAGATATAAACAATCCTCGCTACCCAGCACCTCGTAAGGCGGTGGACCGTAAGTTTTGAGTTGCATGGCAATGTCACCCGCATACTCGGTTGCATCTCTTACTCCCGACCACTTGCGCGCCGGTTTCGGCTCCTTGAGCAATTTTACAGAGATCATGAAGTATAAATATTTTGTATTTATTTCTTTGATTTTCATAAGATTACCTTGAATCTCAAGCTTCCAAGTGGAGGCTCTGCGTATGGTATGCCTTTGAATCCTATGTATGAATTACCGAGGTATCCTTGTATAACGCTGCCTTGAAGAATTCCTTCTTCAACGGTCACTTGTGGCCCATTCATCGCGTGAAGAGTATTTTGAAGAAACCAAGTCTTATTTTCTTTGGTCAAAGCTCAACTGCCATTAACTCGTTTGAAAAAATATATAATTCTTATCGTTCGATGATTTATCAATATCGATTGTTATCGCCTTATATGATTATTAAAAATTTTCCTTTATTTATTTGCAGAGTTTGTTTAAAGGACATTATGTATTAGAAATCTAAGTCTGTTGGAATGATTTTTAATACAACGATAAGAAACCTCGACTTTTTCATTTCCACGACTCTCTTTTTTTTCAGTTTACCTTGAACTTATTCTCGCTACGACGAACGGAAGAAAATATCACCGACTCATTTGTTTACAAATAAGATTATATTTATCACTACCTCCAATGGTGATAATTGCTTCATTGTTTTTTTTATCGTCTTCTTTGCAAGATCGTAAACTTTCACGATTGTACTCGTAAAGTCGAGCGCTTGACGCTAGTGCCAATATGTCTCCTAATATATTCAATAGAACGGCTTAAATTGAGATACGAGCCGTGTGAAAAATCGGTCGTTTATGGCACAATTAGTAGCGCTGATTACTTCACTCGGTGACATAGAGCGAGACGAAATGGTTTGTGCGAATGTCAAAGGCCGTAGACGCGCGGACGAGAAAAAGGGATCATCGATGATGCCTGTATAATGGCCTCTATGTATAAAGTCGTGCAGGATGAAAGCACGCGCAAATATATACACCAGCGAGCTCGTGCGCGTACGTAGTATGTGACCAGCTGCTGCAGTAATCCTCTCTTTGTAATGCGCATAAGAGCTCGTGTGCCTCCCGTGTAACGCGCACGACCCAACGACCCCCTGCCATTAGTCGAACGCGCCTCTTCCATCGTCTTTCTCGCACGACTATCTTAACGTCCGTTGACTCGATCGACTTCAACATATTTGCCTCGGATTTATACATTATGTGCGTCTTATCCGCACGAAACATCTTCGTTCAAAAAATTCCTTTCGCTGCGCAGCGGCTTACTCTCGTTTTCAACGTACCGAACGGCATGTATCGTATATAGTACTCAAGAAATCTGACCTCTTGCCTACAGGGCTACTCTTCAAGTCTCTCCCGTCTTCGATCGATCTACTAATTTTCGTCATCGTTTGAATTTAGAGCGTTGAGCAATAATGATTTTCCAGAAAAATCTTTTCAATTTATCAACAAACTTACAATGCTAGTATTGATGAGACAATGTAGTAAACTAAATAGCCCCGTTCAATTTTATCACTTTTTGGGAGTGACCAGTTTATAGGCCTCAGGAATTACGCATCATTTCAAAGATGCTTTTGTTCGATGTACAATATATTATACAATTATTTCCATACAGCAATGGTAACGCAAAATTATTCATGAAAATAAATATTTATGGATGCGGAGTAACATTTGAGTGGCATAAAAAAAATCAAACAATCATTATCACATGATTATTGGAAAATATCTGCATAAAAGAGTTCGAAAATCATGTCGCAGTCGGTTCGTCAATTATAAGATAGCGTGAAAATGAATTTATCGACTGACTCAATAATTTTCTTCATGCGCATTAAACTGTGCCAATGAATAGTTGGAAAGTTAAAAGAGTCTTGCGACCACCTCATTCACGCGATGACAAAAAAGAAAAAAAGCTGAGAATAAAGAGCTGTGGAATATAAAAGAATTCTATGTCACCCTTATACATGTGTGTATATATATAGATATAGATATAGATGTACGCGCACGGGATGTTTGTAAGGCAATGACAACCAGTTGATGTCACTGGTGCGGTTGTGCTGTAGGAATAATAGAGTCCGCGATTTTAATGGACTCGCTAATCCTCTTGCACAGTTTGCCGAAGTAAGAAGGGAATCACTTCATTTTGGGAAGCACACGCACACGTATAAATGCGTCAATGTATCTCGGTACACATACGCACACACGAATGTGTATATATGTGTATGTATAAAAAAGAGAGACAGACGTACAGACATAAAGCAGAAATCATGATCGCATCACTGTCAAAATAAGCGTTAATATACTGCTTTTCGTTTGATTGTTTTGCATTATGTAGCCTCGTAATGTTGCTATAATTTCTTAAATTGTAAAAAGATTAAAATTTTACTATCAAAATTCACGTGATAATTTCAATAATGTTACAAAATTTCATGATAAAAAAAATGTTTGAATGCTCACAAGGTCGCCTTTTCATGAAATTTATAAAGAGTATTTGTAGGACTCGATACAACCTGTAATTGACGTTTTAGTTCGGCAGTCAGCTGGCATTGTCTGCCAGGGCGAAATTCAAGCCAACCTCAAAATTGTCTGATCTTTCCTGTAACCCCCTTATAATCGCGACCGAAAAGATGCATATGACTCTATTGAGTACATGATACAAAGATAGGGTCGGGCATTTGCACGCAGCCGCGCCACCCCGCGAATTTAAAATGTCGGAACAAACACGTCTGTAAGCCCAATGCGATTGAAACCACGCAGATCATCAGAAAGAGAGAGAAAGAGAGAGAGAGAGAGACAAGCTTTTCTTTTTGTTATCAACGTTTATACGTATATCGCATGAATATCAATAGGCTACGACAGCGCTGGTCTCCCTTACGAGGCAGCAGCGAAATACGCACAGGCGCATTCGGACAAATACATTACATATACCTGCGCGCATAATGATTTCGGGGGCGCGGATACGTGCGCCCACGGAAGGCGTAGCTTTTCTCGCTTTCGCTCGCTCGTCGGGGGAGGTGTATTACGCACATTATATACAGCTCGAACGACGATCGAAGCCCAAGAGCCGAGCGCACTGCTCGCATAAAGAGATCCGCGTGCAACAACGCACGCACACGCACACACGCATACGCTCACAATGAATGTAACGCACGCCCCTTGCCGAAGCTCCCCCGTGTGCAAGCGAGACGCGAGTTCATGGATATACATACCTTGATTTCTCGAGTGACATATATTAAGCACCCTCTTAACGGTACACGCACACACACACATACACGCATGTATGCACTCAAACATACCATAGTAAGAGATAAAGATTGCTGGAGTGAGCGTATAATGTATAAGCAGCCATCGCATCGCATCGTTTTGCACGCATATAGAAGGGGGCAAGGCAGAGCCCTGTACGAGATTTAGGCACGCAGCTGCGTCTGGCGCTCGGCTCGAGCATTTTATATTCTGCGGGGATGGTCGACTTTATTTGACACTTCGACTAAAAGTATATAAGAGATGGCTCGACAAACAATAAGCCATCCGAGTCTCCTCCCCTGGTGGCACGGCTGCATTTTTGCCATTATGCCGACTAATTTTCCTGACAACTTTCCGTGCTGCGCTACACTAGCTTAGACTTATTACTCTCTATGAACGAACATTTTAACAAAAACTCTTCTCTTGCGGTAGTTAAAAAGTTTTAAAAAATTCAAGTCGATGCGTATTTTGAGCTACATTTATAATGAATTTTTAGATCAAAAACGACATCACCATTCATTAGTTTGATGGATGATATCTGGAATTGTTTTTCAAGAATGCTAAGTTTGATTTGTGGTAAAAGCTTAAATGAATTTCATGTTCAATGATGCAACGATACAAGTAAATCCAATAACTAAATGATTATTTATTTATTAAAAAAACAATTGGAAAAAAATGAATTCCCACCATGAGAATGTTTTTGTAATTTCTGAGAGATACTAAATATATTATTATGACATCGCTCAAGTATTTCGACATTTGATGAATTGTCTGCCCCCTTTAGTTAGATCCCATAGAGTTTTAGAATACTCTTGTACAGGAGTATATTGTTTAAAGAGTTGGTCCATTCAATTTTTTCTGAATTTCAGATTTAGCTGTTTTCTTATCGTTTATAATTTGAGTCCTTAAAGTAAGTCGCCTATCCAGATATGTCAAGATATTTCATCTCCTAGCTTTTTAGTATCATCACTACTTCTAGTTTTGCGCTCAGGTATGTCTCTCTCCATAACGTAAACAGACTTTCCTGCATTCACCTCTATTCTTCATTGCCTGAGCCAATCTGTCGTGATGATAATTTGATTTTCGAAGTGAAACTTCTGTTATGGAACAGATGTACAGGGCCTCAACTGTGAGCTTTTCGAGCATATTGGCTCGCTGTGAGGTGGCAAAAGGCCGCATGCAGTTCGAGTTCGGAGGCAGACGCGAAAACCTGCTGGCTGGCAATGCCTAGCAACCAGCAGTGTCGTTTGTTAATATTGTTATTCAGGTTGCCAAGCAGTTGGAGCGACGCAGGATCGTCATTCTCCTGGTAACGCGCGGACGGCGCGGAGCTCAGCATCGCAAGCTTTTTTTGGAAATAAATTGGCATCTCCTCAAATAATCTTGCTTTGTTGGTTTATTTTTTATAATCACTTAGGGACTCACAAAGGCCTCATACGTGCAACAACAACTTCTATACGTGAGCTGGGTATGGGAAGTCAAGCCGTGAAAAACGAGCGCCCGTCCAGGCGTCCGGATTGCATGTTTACAGTCTCAGTAGCGTCTGTATGTGCGATTTTTTACTAATTCAAGAGTAAACGGGTTAAACTTTGTATTTTTGATACTAATTCTTACAGGATTCGGTCATAAATAACGTTAATGTTGCAGTGAAATTTGGGATAATCAAATTTTTTTCATCAATTGAATTGCCTTTCGCAGGGTTTCTTCCAAGACATTTTTGAGATAATGCTCCGTGTATTTTACTTACACACAAGGGAGTTTCTACCCAACGATCAGGATACTAAAGCTAAATCTGAGTTATTTCGAGTCAGTCCAGAACCTACTGGACGAGACATTTCGCAAACAAACCATCAGCGTGACCATTGCGTGCGATCTATACAAGAATCTTAATCCACCCAACACATGGATTTCCGTGGTCATAGAATAAAGTCAGTATCTTTTTTGGCTTAGCCACAATTCAATGTCACCGTTCATCCGCCTGTTCCCATCCCACTCAGCTTCGCGTGAATTCCAACAGTCGACAA